CCTAACCCTAACCCTAACCCTAACCCTAACCCTAACCCTAACCCTAAAATAGAGGGTATTAGTAGTATTTATATTAAGCCTTAGGCTCTTACAAGACAGGAGAACTCGAGGAGGGGTGTTGTATTATAGACTAGGCGGTAGGAGGTAGCCCGTAGTATATGTAGGTAGGGTGTAAGATATACCACTAGCTAATCACTTACATAACCATTAGGAGAGGCTTAATAGGATCTCTTTAAGATCTACAAGAGCCAATACCAGAATCGAAAGAAAGGCTAAGAGCCAATAGGCTTAACGGGATCCCGTTGAGATCTATAAGATCTAGGTACGAAGGAATAAAGAAGTTATGGAGTATATAGATAGCTAGCTAGTTACTTGTTAAAGGAATCTGGGACTTCCTTAGTAAGCAATATAACTTATTTGCTATTAGTTACTACAAATATTAAGACCAGATTATCACTTTATTGTAAACCCTTTGGCTTCTTGGCTTCACTGAATCACAACCCCAGTTATATTACCTTTAGTAAACCCTTGTAGAGTGTGGTTGAGACGATTCGTCATACCAGATCACTATCTTGTTGTGAACCTTTTGGCTTCACCGAATCACAACACCAGTTACCTTATCTTCAGTGAACCCTTGCAGAGTGTGGTTGAGACGATTCGTCACAAAGGGTTTACTAAAGGTATAATATAAGGGTTAGGATCTAGTAAAGTTAAAAGGTAGCTCTTATAGATCTCAAGGAGATCCCGTCGAGCCTCTCCTGATTGGTTGCGTAAGTGATTGGTTGGTAGTGCGTCCCGCGCCCCACCTGCATGTGCCACGGGCTGCCTTCTGCGGCCCAGTCCGTGACACGAGCGCGTCATGCAAATCTTGCTCCGAATAAGGCATCTTAAACGGTTGAACGGTTTGGTAGGATTTGGTGCATTTTTACGAAGGTTTGGGTGGTATGGGCGCCTTTTTATACAGGTTGAGATAGAACCTTAGGTAGGTAAAAAAGTTGATTACTTCCAGGGGGGTGCCGTGCGGCGGGGACCCGACTTACCTTAGTTAACCTCCTGGGAGTCTTGGAATGGAAGATAGAGGCTAAGGTATTTGTCATAGGAGTGGGTGTAACAGATTACCACAAGACGAGCATAACTCAGCGTTCTACCGAGGCCTCGGCTCTCCAATGCCTCGGTTCATTTTAGCTTGCGGGGTTGGCTGGGGAAAGCCGAACCCAAATGTAATAAAATTAATAAATGCCCACTCCAGTGTTCATGATCAAAGACAACGCACACTCCAGACAGAATAAGCGGCCATTCCTGGTTACATTTGTTTAAATATGACAGGGAACTCCTCAGGGAGAACGACAGGTACACTCTCTGTATGGGAGCGGATATCCCTCGTCGGCTTGATCCCCTGGTTCAGTACGCCCCCCTCCCCTTACAACCCATGTACGATGTCATCCCCATATTAACCCATTCATCTTCCAACGTCTAGCTGCCCGGTGGCTTTTCGGCTTTGTTTTTCACGGCAACCCTGAGCTGCACTGGCGCCAACGTCTTGCAGTGTCCCTGCTGAGAGCCCAGCGTGCCACTTTCGCTCCAAGTCAGCTGCGCTGGCTGTCCCGCCGTACATCGACACGCGATGCAATCGTTGGGTATAGTAAGGAGCATGGCCTTGCTCACAGAATTATCACCCTCAAAACTGTAGCAACTACCGATGTTGTCGAGCTCGACATCCCGCCCCCAAGCCTCCATTTCTTGGCACACTTTAGCCCCACCGAGAGGGACGGCGACAGCGGACTGACTCTACTCTATTTCCACGGCGGCGGCTTTGTCAACCCGCTCCGCAAGGCCGCGCACATGCCCTTTATTCATCGGTGTGCTACGGCCGGCGACGCCACACGGGTCGTAATTGTCGAATACGGCCTCGCACCCGAGCATCCGTATCCAGCACAGATGGTGCAATGCATCGCCGCGTTGCGGTATCTCGTCGACGAGATGGACCTTGACCCAGGAAAGATTGTGCTTGGTGGCGACAGCGCAGGTGGGCAGCTTGTCGGGGCTGTGTTGGTTCATTTGGCACGCCCCTCGCCGTATGCCCCTCCCCTAACACTTCGCGGTAAACTGAAGGCAGCGCTGCTTGTCAGTCCTTGGGCAGTTTTACCATCTTCGTGTGATGGGAGCTACAGGACAAATGCTCGTCTGGACTATCTCAATCAAACTATAGTGGACCAGTTCCAGGCGTCTTGGAAAGGAAACGAAAATGAGATATGGGCAAATCTTTACGGAGTCGAGGAAGCGAGGGCGGTTTGGAGAAAGATTGTGCCTAATGAAGATCAAGGGATTGTGGGAAAGATCTTAGTTACTGCGGGGACGGCGGAGGTCTTTCTCGACGGCTGCCGGGCCGTTGCCAAGGACGGAATGGGTGCTGAGACGGTTGTGATTCACCGTGATATCGACTGCGATGCCCCGAGAGGCAAGACGCTGGTGCTCGCGGAATGCCAAGGCGAAGTACATGTCCAGTCCGCTGTAGACTGCGCTGTCGCATTTGATGGAGGACTAACAATGCGTGCTATAACCTCATGGTTGGCCACCATTTAATCAGAAAAGTTTGATAACAGGCTTAAACTTAAGCATGTTGAAGCGTTAAAAAAGTAATTAATTGAGTCTTCCATGTTCGACTAGTTCAATGATCTCCTAGTTTATTGTTGTGCAGCTGAGATTAAAGCCCGATTTTCAACCCAGCTACACCGTAATCGGGATCAACCGCAAGTTCAGCGGCCGTTTCATCCACAAGTTGAAGCTCCTGCAGTCGAGGAACTCTTTTGCTTCGTCATCGCCAAAGGCCAAATTGTAATTCCAAATCAGCCTGGTGAGAATCAAGCGCATTTCTACATATGCAAGGCTAGTCTCCATTAGCACACTGGTCGAGGAAAACCATACCCATGCACTTACTTCTTTCCAATACAGTTCCGCGGTCCAACCGAGAACGGCTGCAGCGCACTTTGCCGGCTCTTGTCGAAATGCTGCTTCGAGTCGTCGAGCCAACGCTCCGGGATGAAATCCTGGGCAAAAGCGAAGTTGCGGGAGCTATAAGACATTGCCCACGGAAAGATGTCGAAAGCAGTCTGCATGGTGTGAGCGAGCGTGTATCTTCCTGTAGACAATGGGTGTAGTACTTACGCCACCCGGAACGTGATATCCGCAGATAGCATCATCCACCTGGCTCTTCCTCGGGAGCTGATTCGGCACCGGGGGAAACATCCGCATCGATTCGTCCAGCACAGCTAGCAAATAGTTGAGCTTATTGACGGAGAAGAAATCGATCTCGGCCTCCGACGTAAAGCTCGACCGGACCTCCTGTGCCAACTTCCGCTGCACCTCCGGGTGCTTCGCTAAGAAGTACGCCGCACCGGCCAGTGCCGTCGCCGTGGTTTCACTCCCGGCAATGACCAACATCCGTGCGTTGGAACACATCTCTTCCATCGTAAGCGTCCGCCCGTCACTCGCTTTGGCCGTGGTCATGGCTTCCACAAAGTCCGGCCGCTCTGTGTCCAGGGCCAGCCGCCGCGCGATCCTTTGCCGGGAATACTCAGCCTGCATGTCCGTGTGTCGCCCAATGTAACCGCGCGGGGCAAGCTTTTTGACCAACCCCAATAGTCCCGGCCAATACCACTGCAGCGAAGTCATCACGCCGAACTGTTTGACGCCGAGGAGGATGGCTTCGACCCATGGGTGATACTGAGACTCCTCAAGACAACCGAACGGTTCGCCAAACGCCAGGTCGCCGATGACATCAAATGTCGTGTAGTTGAACCACGCGGCCAGGTTGACCACGGCTTCCTTTCGTCCTGTCGCGTCCCCTTTTGTCTCCTTCGCCCCGGTCGAATCTACGGTGGTCTTCTCCTGCAAACGCTGCATCAACAAGTCCACGTACCGCGTAATCAACGGCTGCTGGTCCTGCATAGTCTTGGCCGAAAACCCGTGCGCCAGGGCGCGGCGATATCGCGTATGGTCATTGCGCGACGCACCCAGAATGTTCTTGGTCGAGATGAAATAAAACGATGGTTCCTTCCCGTGCTCACCCTGTCCGCTCTTGCGATGGCCGCGCACGGCGTGATACGCATCAGGATGCGTGAAGGAGAGCCGGTTGGGCGCCACGCGGACGACATCGCCGTGCTGTTCGTGTAGCGCGTGCACGACCTTTGGGAGGTGTCCCGATAGCCAGGCGAGGGTGTAAGGGATCTGTGTTGCGGCCCAGAGTTTCGGGCCCGGGACAACGCGCAGCGGGTGCAGAGTGAGGTTGTAGGTGGCGTACAGGATGATGGGAAGTGTTGCCTGCAGGTCAGCAGCCAAGGTTGCAATCAGCAAGGGTCCCTGATTAGGATTGCGGGCTGACCCGCTAGACCGTTGTGGACAGGAGACCACGTACCAAGATCACGACGGTCAATGGCCAGGCGAGATATGCCGGAAGCTGGAGGAGCGAGGGGATGTGTGGTATGAGAATTGCCATGTTGTTCGAGTTATGCCCGTAGTGGCGAGCAAGTTACAAGAAAGCTGAGTGCGAAAACAAGCGGGAGCTGGCTGGTGCGTGACAAATCAGGAAGAATAACTACCACGCTCGTGTCGTCCTACAACCCCGCCAGGAGTATATAGGGCGCGATTCGGCCCTACGGTTAGGGCCGAAGTCCGATCCGTGGCGGCTCGGATGGAACTCTCCTGCGATCACCCGGTTCGCGTCTCGTCCGGGGCAACGCTTGCCTCTTTCAGGGGGCACCGGGCAGGGTAGCTCGGGAAGCTGGTGTGCGTGGAGTGGTATCAGAGCCAGAGGAGCAAGCTTAGCGTGCCATTCATCTCCTATGCATGGCATACGGGCGTTGTTAGCGTCTGAGTCTGGTGCTTACAGGTCAACGTTGCGGAGGAATAATTGCCTGGGTAGAAATGGGGTGTGAAATGTTGAAGGTCCGTTTGCGATAATTTTTATGATGACGACTCTTCTTCCCACTACAATCACATCGGACGCCAACATCTCTCCTTTCTCCACAACTTACAACTGTTTGACCGACGCGAGACATTCGGGTTATTCACGTCGGCCTACTGCGTTTTGGCCGACGAAACAAGCGGCATTTTGTGGATTTGTGGTCGGTTTATTCGAGTCGCGGAAACAAGTAATTTCAGAAAAGAAAAACGCTCGGTCTTTCCCCAGATCGCCATAGCAATGTGGAGCTGCGGGTCCGGCAGAGTGTCAAACTATTCCCAGGCGGGATTAGTGGAGACGCCTCGCTCCGAACAGTGGAGGGTTCTCTTGGTTGTCCATTGTTGTCATGATCAACTACCGGTGAGCATAATGCATCATGACGCTAAATCCAACAAACAAATGCAAATCTTCCAACTCTTTCGGGGGCCGAAGCGACGGGGGAAGCGACCGTTGGTCATACGTCGTATCGGCGGGGGCCTGACGACGTAACATTTGGGGCGGTGACTCTACTGCAACGCATCGCAGATGATGGGTCCCGATGCCATCATTCCCTCATAGACACATCCCACTTCCTTCACAATCGGCAGTCTCGCTATGGCCAAAAAAGCGGCAAACCAAGGCTCAGATAGGTAACTTCGTACTTTGCTACAAAAGTGAAAAAGACCAAAAAGAATAAACCAAAAAAGTGAATGAAGACAAAAAAGAATGAATCCGGAAAGTGAAAAAAAGACAAAAAAGAGTATTAAATCAATCAAAATTTACCGAGATTTGATCGAATGTTAATGGATTGGACTTGAGTAACCTGTTTGAGTGTGCCGCTTTTTTTGGCCACAGCGAGGCCGTTCCCACCATACTCAAACTCACGAAGCTTGAGGCTGTAGCACATCAACCGACTAAGGACTTGAACAAGGATTGGTCTGTCATTCCTAAACTTTCGGCGCCATCCACGACAGAAATGGAGAAAACAGATGGTATTTGCCTTCAAACCTTGGGAACCTCCTCGTGTATCACTTCTGGACCGTCCTTCTCAGATCCAACCCCCGCACTCACATCTTCCCCATACCGACCAACACAGACATACTTGCGGAATTTCCGGGCTGGAAGCTTTGCCTCGAACTGAGAATACGTTAGCTCATTAGCTATAAGAAATATCGAACCATCCTGGGTAGTACAGACCATCTCGTCAATCTCCTCCAAGGTGCGGTCCTTGACCTCGGGGAGAAACAGGTACACCCACAGACTAATTACCTGCCGTCAGCATCACGCTACCCGTATCGCAGGGTCAAATTACTTACGCCGAAACCCAACACGACGGTGCCCATATAAACCCATACTTAGGGCCCCAGTTGAGAGCGTTGGGGTTGATAAAGTACGGCGCCGTAAATGTCGTAAGCCAGGCCACGAAAAAGCCGACCGCTGTAGCAAGACCGAACGTATAACTCCTCAGTCGCTGGGAAGGCAGCTCGCCACCGGAGATCCACGCGTACGTGGATACCAGGCCCTGGGTTTGTCAGAACGGAAGCGTGGGGAGAATATAAGCTTTAACAGGGAAAACTGACGTTGTATGCGAAAATGTACAGAATAGCCAATGCAACAACGGCCTGGCCGGTGGATTGAGCGCCAGGGTTGACTTGGTACACAACGGCCATGAGTAGCTGGGTGAGGCCACAAAGCGTGAGGCCGGTGACCAAAAACACGCGACGACGACCGTAACGGGTGATAATGGCGCTGTTGATTAAGATGGCTATGACGCCGACCGATATCAAAATGCACGAGTTCTCAAAGGCATCGCCGATGCCTGCCATCTGGAAGAAGTATGTGCCAAATGCTGCAAATGCGTGATGTCAGCAACCATCACGCGGCGAGGGGAATAGCCTGCTACCTTACCAATGATGAACATGGCCCCAGACGACCCTTGCACCGCCACTGTACAAACGGCCAAGATGGTTCTCCTCCGATCGATCGGATTCCGGAACATATCCCACACGGCGATGCTCCTCTCCCTCACAATCTCCAACTCCAGCGCCGTTACAATGTCGTGCATCTCCGCATCAATTTCTCCTTCTGTACCTGGACGAAACCACCGTAGCGCCCTGCGCGCCGCGTCTTGACGACCGTGCTGAGCCAGCCAACGAGGGGACTCGGGCACGAAGAGTAGACCGACGGAGATAATAACGGGGAGGATGTAAATGAGACCAAGAGGGATCAAGTACGCGTTCCGGCCGACTATCTTGGCAGTAAAGTTGTCGACGACGGTGCCAACCAGGGTGGAGACAGAGGTGAAGACCTGGAAGGACGAGATGAGGAAGCCGCGGTACCGGGCCGGCGAGCATTCCTGAATGGTCAGCTACCAAGATGTCCGCCCAAGTTTAACGTTCGTCTCACCTGGATATACAACTGCCCAAATGTCATGAACACTCCATTGGCAAGACCCAGAATCAGACGGCCCGCATACAGCCCTCCAATATTCGTCGTAGCCATCATGATCACGTTCGCAACGATGCACATGGCGCTGGCCGCCCAGACTGTCATCCTCCTAGAAATGACAGTGGCGATGGGTCCAGCCAGTGACGAACTCACAAATGCCCCCAGCGTCATGAGCGATGAGATGAGCTGCTGGCGCTCCGTCGATATGTTCCACCCACCGGGGACGTTGGGGTCTTGGTACCCAAATACCTGTCGGCCCAGTTAACGCTTAACGCAAACGCTACCTCATGGCCAAATACTGGGCAAGGAGCATACCTGAAGGAACCCAACCATGGCTTGCATGCCCCCGATCAGCCCAAAATCGAGTCCATACTGGAAGGGGCAGAGCGACAGCAGGAGGCAGGCCGCCATGCATTTCCAGTGGTCTCTGATGGTATACCTCTCCGCCAACTCGTCTTTCGACCTCGCTGTGCCCGGTATCGCCATTTTGGAAAGGGTACTGGATCTCCACAAATAACAGCCGGGGCGAAATACCCAAAATCGACAACAGACCCACTGGGTGAATGAGTCCTGGCAGGTCGCTTTCCACGACCCGGGACAACACGACGAGGATAAAAAAAAAATCAAGAAAGCTGTGGCGTTGGATAACGATCCATGAAAGGCGAGGTAGGCCGCCCCGACGGCTGTAGTCAGCCCCCAACTTGCCCAGCTTCGCATCATTGATTAGATTGCAAATGCGGATGCATGGAGAATCCCGTTGGACGCGTGTGCCGTCTCATGTCGTATGAATTCTCAATGTGACTGCCGCACCGTGTGTGTGGTGTGTGGCGTCAATTCCCGCGTTTGGGGGCCAGACCGGCCGGTCCTCACTAATTACTCCCCTTATGTTTTTACAAATGACCAAAGATCCAAAACAAAGCTACGATCGGCCCTACCGAGTCATCGATCAACCACTACCCTGGGCACGGCCATAATCCGAGGATCCCGGGGCTGCGTCACTGGCCTGTGCGAAATTGTCGTCTCGGGGATGATGGGCTGAACTGAGATCTTGACCAGGGCAACGGGCAGCCCGGCGCAGGGGAATCAGACGTCAATCCAAACGGGGAAAAGAGCATTGTTCCATGCATTCTCGGCAGCAGACAGTGCGGGCGTGGCGGTCGATCCGACTTGTGATTGGTCGGACAAGTACAGGGGGTGAAGGGACTTGGTTGCGCCTCAGATTGGAAGATGTTGAGCAAGCAGGATTGACGGTGTTGTGGGCGCGGGGGGGGGGGGG